GGGGTGGGCGTGAAGACACACCCCATGAGCGCCTACTATAGGGCCCGGGGGAATGTGCCGACTCCAGACCTGCTGGGACTCGGGGGGACCCCAAGTGCTAGGCCAGGCCTCAGGACTCTGGGATCCGAATGTGCAAGTGGACACCGCCCTCTTGCGTTGGACGGTTTTCCATTTAAACACGTATTTGTTTTTAGTGTCTTTTAGCTTTTTTCTTCCTGCAAAATATGTTCACTTAAAAAGTCTTTTTCTTTCCAGTTTCTTTCAACTTTCCTTCCGTTCCTTTCAAGTAACTTTTCTCCCTCTGTTTCTCCTGAACTATCCATATGAAAAAGACCTCACTAAAATCTCAAACTTTGACACAGGAAGATCTTCTGTTCCCCCTGCCGACCGAGCAATGAAGACGGACCCTCCGTGCCCACGAGGGAAGGAGGGGTGCGTGCATGTGCCATCAGCACAGCAGTGACAGGCGGAGTGTCCGCTTTCCCCGTACACCCAGTCCCCAAGGCTAGGCATGGCAGCCTCCCCACGGCAGACCGACCAGAGCAGGCTGGCGGACACGCAGGCGAGGAGCGTGGCGGGATTCCTCCCCAAGCCCTGTGTGAGCAGGCTGGCGTGCCCCTGCCGCGGGGCCCACAGGGGCTCTGTCCTGTGCTGTGCCGCTTGATGACCTAGGCCTGGGGGTCACCAGGGCAGCACAGCGAGGACTTAAGCACCTGGAAAGACGGGACCTCCTGCGAGCTCACGAGTCACCCGTCTCTGGTGGACCGCCTCTCCTGAGAGGGAGCGTCCCTGGAAGGAAGCGTCTGCATTTGTACCAGGTCCCGACCCCGCTGTACCCCATCTTAGATAGTGAGGAGAGGGATGCAGCCCACACCCACCCCGCCCTCGTGGCACGCCATGGGCGCCGTGAACGTCCAGCGGTCCGTCTTCGGGTCATACATCTCCACCGAGCTGAGGTTCGACTGTCCGTCATAGCCCCCCACGGCGTAGAGGCGCCCGCAGTTGGCCACGAGGGAGACGCGGCTCCGGCGTGTGTGCATGGGCACGATCAGGCACCACTGGTCGGCCAGGGAGCTGTACACCTCGGCGAGGCTGAGGAAGCCGGAGCCGTCATAGCCGCCGCACACGAACATCTTGCTACCCAGGGAGGCGGCGCCGTGCCGGCACCGCTTGTTGAGCATCCCGGCTGCCGGCTGCCAGGTGGCCGTGTGGTGGTTGTAGTGTTCCACCTGCAGGGGAGAGGCACAGGCAGGCCGGTCAGGGCACGGCCTCATCCCGGGTGACCTCGCAGGGCAATGCCACGTGGCGTCTGGTCACTGGGAGGCCTGGGGCCGGGGCACCACCACCGCGTGTGCTCCACCTGATCCGCCTTGTGGGCCAACTCCCGCTCCTGCCTATGGGGCAGTGAGCCCCACAGCTTGCCCTCCCTGCCCTCTCGGGAATCACACTGGGACCTACCCAGGGGTCTTTGCTCATTGCGACAGCGGGGATGAGGCTGGATGAGTGAGTCAGCCCCCTCCCCCAGTCCAGAGCACCTTCCCCATGGGGCTGGCTGACCCTAGGGAACCACTGCAAGTGGCCGCTGAGCAGGTGGCGTGGTGGTTAAGGCGCTGAACTCCCTCATGGCTGATGTCAGCTTGAGTCCTGGAACCAGCAGCTTGAAGATCGCACTGGGTACGTGTGCGTGAGAGCCCCAAATCCCAAGAGAATGGGATTATGGTGTGGCCAGCGCCCCCTGGGGGATGAACTCCCACTTTCTCTCTCACTGTCTCTTGCTGTATGGCACATACCATATGGCAAAAAAAAAAAAAACCCTCAAAAAAAAAAAAAAAAGAGTAAATGCGGCTTCAAACAAAATCTCTAGAACACACCCATTTGGCACTGGGCATATAACTGAACTCCCTCCGGCAGGAATTTCCCAGGGCCCAACGTGGCATTGTGATGGGCAGCTGCACGGGAGGGAGCTGGGGGCGGTGGTAGGGTGGCCACGCTTCACCTGCCCCTTATGTGCACTGGTTGCCATGGATGCCAGGCGATACGCAGATGGCCTGGCCCCTGTCTAGGTGAAGCTTTCTCCAGCAACGGCAGGGCCCTAGGCTTTTCAAACACTGTCAACGTAGCTCTCAATGCAGCTCCTGACCGGAGCGGTCTCCCCAAACTCACGCTGTTGAAGATCTGCAAGCCATCGTGGCCACCCGACACGTATATCCTGCCCTCAAAGACCGTGACCCCAGCAGCGCTGCGGTTGGAGCTCATCGGGGTCACCACCGTCCACCTTCAGGAGAGAGTCAGATAGGAGGGCAGGCATGAGATTTGGCATCCTCGCCTCCCAAGACAGCCTATAGGGTGTGTGAAGCATGCCGTGCCCCTTGGCCCCGACAACCTTCCCCCAGTTATCACCTCCCATGCCACCTCTGCTGCTGCCAGCTTCAGATCCCCTTTCAGCCATCTCTGTAGGTGCCCCAAGCCAGCATGTCTCGGGGCCTTGCTCCCTACAGAGCTGCTCCTCCCGTGCTCAGTCTGATCAGTGGGGTCACCAGCTACCTGGCTGCTCTGTCTATAAACTTCAATGTTTTTGGGCTTCTTCCCCCTCCCTCGACGTTCTCGCGGATCCCGCATCGTGGCTTTGCCTCCTAGTCACTGCTTGCCCCATGCCCACACCACTGCCCTAGCTCTGGCCTCTCTCTCAGGCTATACGGACTTCCCTACAGGTGAACTGGGTTTTAGACCAGGGCCTTCTGACCTCAGGCAGCCAGAGGGAGCACTCCTCCAGTGGCTGCATGTCCCACCTGCAGCTCTGTCTCCTCTAAGGCAGAGTCCAAGCCCCCACACCTTTTTAAAAAGAGGGTGTGTGGTTGCCAAGGAGAGATGAAGAACAGAAAGCAGTCCCCTCACAGGGAATGGTCACGCCCCAATCGCTTCTCCATCTCTCTCTCCCTTCCGGATTTTAGGCATGTATGCACACACGCCCAGCATGTTTCTGAAGGCACCAGGCCTGAGACTCCAACCATGCAGGTGGCCATGTTAAGTGGGTCCAGTTGCCATAACTATCGGGCACAGAGCTGACCCGAGGCATCCAAGTTCCTGAGCGCAGCTCTTCAGCACTTGCTCCTCCAGCCCCTTCCAGCTGCCCCACGGATCACACACCTCCCACGCCTCTGCTTCCCTCTCCTGCTCCTGCTCTAGCCTGCCGGGGCAACTGCTGTCCCCGAGCACAAACGCTGTTTACCTGAGCCTCGCTCCTAGCTGGCCCCTTCCCTGAGATGAGTCCCCCACTGTCCAGGACAGTCTGACCTTGGAAGACATCCCTACCACCCCACCTCTCCCCAAGGTACCCAGGAAGACAAAGGTGCCCCCCACCAGGGGCAGTTTACAGAACCCCAGACACTCGCCGGCCGCCCCCACCACAGGAGGCTCGTTAAGTGAACAGAACACTGGCTTCAAAGCATCTGAAGAAGACCCCTAACCTAACTGCTTCTACTTCATTACATAACATGAGAGGATTCGCACATTGCAATGACAGGTCCAGGCTAACCTGGTCATTGTTTCCTACAACCCCACGGGAAGACGACAGGGTTACGTAAAACTCAGATGAAACAGGGCTCTTCGCTGCAGTTTCTCACAGCCTCTGCAGTGTCACGTGCGCTGGCAAGACGAGCACTCTGCGCACAGGCGCCACTTCCAGAGCTTACTTGACCACATCAGTTTTTCTTTGCCTTTTCCCCAAATTACATCGTTTTGACTTTATTTATTTATTTTTAGAGAGAGATTTTTGCTATAGGGCACATGTGCTCGCTGGAGAGACAGGAAGCAAGAAATCACCCTCCGGTGAGATGGCCACACTGCAATCCCTTCTCCTCCATTCTCCTCTCAGGATCTTGGGCACACACGCCATACGTGCAGCACTGAGTTGTTTGGTTTGGTTTTTTTTTTGGGGGGGCACTGAGTTTTAAGTTGTGGATCTGGGACTCAAACTGAGGTCAACTTCATGGGAGTCCAGCAATGTAACCACTGAGCCATCTGCTGGCCTCCTCAAATCCTATCCTGCCAACATCGACTTCTGACGCCCTCTTGCCTGCGCTGCCATTAAACGGATTGGTTAGGCCGCAGCACCCGTGGTTATGGAGGCAGGTACTTCCGTAAAAAATGGCCACACTCATTCATTCATGTCACCAAGGGACCTTAAAATTACATACCTACTATATACAAGTACTGGAGCGGCACAAAGGGTCAGACTTTCTCTCCCCTCCAGCAGCTCAAATTAAAAGCTGCAGTCCTGGGACCAGCAGTTGGTGTAATGGCTATGTCGCTGGACTCCCATGTAGTCGATCACAGTTTGAGTCCCAGACCTGGTGGCTTAAACTTATGCCAGGTGTGTGTGCGTGCGTGCCCAAGATCCCGAGAGGAGAATGGAGGAGAAGGGACTGGGGCGTGGCCATCCCCCCTGGGGGGAGATTTCTCCCTTTCTGTCTCTGTCTTTCTGGCAAACACACACACCCTATAGCAAAAACTTCTCCAAAAAACACACAAAACACTGCAGTCTTAATTTTTCATACTCTCTGCTCGCCAAGCTCTGCTTAAGAAGTCCTTACTTGTCCGTCTCCGGTGAGTAGGTCTCCACGGAGTTGAGGGAAGAGTTGCCATCGTAGCCCCCGCAGACGTAGATCTGCCCATCCAGCACGACCGTCCCCATGGCACTGAAAGAGACAGAGGTGTCACCCCGAGGGGCCTCCCATGTGCTAGGGCAGCCTCTCGTGCCCACTGAGAAATAAACCAATCACCTCCTCTCTCCAGATCAAGCCCAACTAAGTCCGGGTGTCCCCCTCACCCGTTCCCCTCTGCTGCGGGTGACCTGTATCCCGCAGCAAAAACTCTCCCTCCCGACCCCTCGCTTCCAGAGCACCTTCTTCGTCTGCGACAGCCAACCTTTCATTCCTTTTCCTGGCCAAAGGCTGGGTGCCAAGTGAGCGAAGCTCCTGCCCACCAGAGTACCAGGAATCCATCAGCCGCCTTTCCTTTTTTTTTTTTAGGTTTTTGCCACAGGGCACATGTACTTTTCCAGAGACGGATGGAAAGTGAGAAATCACCTCCTGGGGGGGTGTGATCACACACCATCCCTTCTCCTCCATTCTCCTCTGGGAATTTTGGGGATGAACGCAGACAAGCCAGGTGTGATTTTTTAACTCGCCTGGTCTGGGCTTCGAACTGTAATCAGCCATGTGGGAACCCAGTGCCTTAACCTCTATGCCACCTGCTGGCCCTATCTGCCACCTCTTTACAAGTGGGCACCTCCTGGAAGTCAGGGAAGGGTCTTCATTTGTGTGACCTCAACAGTGACAATGTGGCATCCTGTAGAAAACAGGCCCCCAGGAGGTGTCAGCAGTGTGGCCTCTCGTGTCCCCACTCAATTCACCACACAGCTACCAGATCTGTGCTCACTGCTGGCACAGTCCTGCCCGCCCTGACGTGTTTCAGTGGGTCATGCCACAGCTCCTGGGGGCCACACGCTTCCTACATGTGGCAGGTGGCTCTACGCTTCCTGTCCGCAAACCCACCCCAGGGAGGAAGGAAGGAAGGAAGGACGGGCGGAAGGAAGGAAGGAAGGAAGGAAGGAAGGAAGGAAGGGGAGAGCAGTCGGCCATCACTGCATGGACAGGGAGGCTGGCTCTTTTCCAGGCCGTCCAGGGAAGGAAGGGCAAGCCCCAGTTAAATGGAACAAGCCCGACTCCACGCCACTGCGCTCTCCTACATGAGCCTTACGAGACAGACGTTAAACACGAATGCTAACCTGCCTGATTCACTGTCTACAAACCTGATGCTGGAGGAGATTAAGGAAAAGGAAAGCACACAGGCATGTGGCCTCCTAGCCATACACGGCACACCAAACTGGCCCACACCCTGCACCTTGAGGAGCGTGGGAAGAGATCTTTTGAACTTGCTGGAAAAGAAGAAGAGCTGGCCAAGGCAGGGCCTGCGGAGCTCACAAACTCACTAGACGTGGCTGGCGTCCTGCTCCAGCTGCACATGCAGTGAACGTAAGAGTCTTAAGTAGCAACACAGGTGCCCAACACCAACATGAGAGCGAGTTAAGAGATGCCACGGAACGGCGTGGGACTAACTATCCACCAAGTGTGGAGACAGAAGGGAAGGCACCGGTCACTGTGGACTAGAATAGCGTGGGGCGAGAACGTCCTGTGGAGGTGGCCTAGAAGACAAGAAAACCATGGCAGGACAGATGTCAGCCAAGACAGGACTGAGAACATTTCGAGTGGCCTGTAACTGAGAAGGGTTACACGGAGCTGGACCCATCCTGCTAGTAACAGGGCACTGCCCAGCGTGAGGAAGGGGCCAGAGGACTCTCCTCAGACGGCATCCCAAACCCAGGGACACCAATGTGAAGAAGGGGCCCGGAGCAGGCACCCAGGGAAGGACTGGCTGCAGCTACAGCAAAAACACGACTCATGACTGGGGACAAGGACGCCGAGTCAGGACCACAGAGAGCGGAGGGGCTGCCCGCACGTGGGTGGCAGCAGGAGAGTGGCAAGAGCATCTTAGGAGGTCGTGTTTCCTCCTCAAAGCAACCTGCATTGACCCTTCGCAGCCCGGGGAGACTCCGCCACTGCACGTCCACGCACTGACACGCAGAGTGGGGACGTACATTGTGGCTGCTGCACTGCTGCATAACCGAGGACTTCGACCCTATTGATTGTCCTCACACGCATGCAAATGTGCGATCTCACAGGGAGACTGAAGCATGGCCTGTGGCAGGGCCTGGGGGGCAAACGCCTGGATTCAGAATTACAGGAAGGCCCTTAAAAAGCACCTGGTCTGGAACAGAGCACGGTGGTTAAGCGGTGTGTGTGGGGAGCCAGATCCCACACGGCTGCCTGCAGTTCGAATCCTGGCCCTGCAGGCTTGAAAAGCACACCAGGTGTGTGTGTGCACGCGCATATGTGTGTGCCCCAAATCCTGATGGGATGGGGAAATGAGGAGAGGAGTGGTGTGACTACGCTCCACTTGGATGTGCTTTCTCCCTCTCCGGCTAGCATGCACACCAACACCCTCTGACGATAAAACAGGGGGAGCGTGAGGTATCAGTCCAGTGGTTTTCAGAATGCCCCTTAACAAAATCGTGGAGCAGCTGGTGGCATGCTGGTTAGGGCGCTGGGTCCCACACAGCTGACTCCAGGGTTAGAGTCCTGGGTCTGGCAGCTTGCGATAACACGCTGAGGAGAGCATGCGTGCCCCAGATTCCGAAAGGAGACCGGGGAAGGGGCTGCGGTGCGGCCATCTCCCCCGGGGCGAGGAGTCTTACTTTCCCACCTGGTTTCCCTCCAGCAAGCACAAGTGCCCTCATAAAAATCCTAAAACTAAAATCCATATATAACTCTTCCCCAAAACTCCACTCATGTATGTCAAGGACACTCAACGGGCAAGAGAGAAACGCAGAGCTGCTCTGGCTAAACGGGCAGGGCCTTGGGCGCTCCCTCACTCCCTGGGCAGCACATGAGCACCCACATCACACTGAGGGCCGCCCCCGAGCGCCCCCACGGCCAGCTGAGGGCCGCCCCCCGAGTGTCCCCACGTCCCACTGAGGGCCGCCCCCCGAGTACCCCCACGTCCCGCCGAGGGC